GCAGAAGTAGATGAGAAATGTTAGTTTTCCTCTGTCTCTCGGTTTCTGTCTTTCTATCTCTGTCTCTCTTTCTCTTGTCTTTCTGTCTTTGTCTCTATCTCTGTCTCTCTCTCTTCAACCCAGCTCTCTCCTTTCTCTTCTTCATTTTTGTAAAAGAAAGACTAGTATGTATATGTGTGTGTGTATGTATATATATATATATATATATATATATATATATATATATGAAATATATGGTTTGCTTTTTTTTTCAGTGAGGTGACAATAAAGGGACACTTTCTGACTAGCCGGGCTGATTGTAAACTCCTTACTTGTAGAACTTCTATCTCCAGCTACTACTGACAAACATTATACACAGTGGCTACTAAGAAAGCTCTTTTTGTTAATGGTACTCTGATGCTGCATCTTGCTTTCACCAAAGGCAATGCCTTCCACTGTAGTTAGATTGTGGAGGTCTTGGTGAGAGGATAGTATTATTTCATGGGTTTCTAACTGCTTGAACAACAAAATCTAGCAAATGTGAAACTGATAGGTAGATGTTAATGTGGAGGTCACCTTTCCGGTTACAGCTCTTTCTGCCTCAACATCAGAATTTGGATCAAAATACAAAAGGGAGTTTAGCTAATGTGTTCATAAAAGAGGGTTAATGATGGAACAAAGTCAATGTATTGGAACTCAGGACGAAATGAGAAAATGACAAAAGGTAGATTCTGATTCTTCTCTAGCCTTCCCTAAGTGAGTCAAAGAGTGTGATGCTGTTCTAAAATTTAGGATATTGGTCACTGAGTACAATTCAGAATCTTTTTCATCAGTGTGAAAAAGTTCCTTAAGAGCCTCGACACCTCTCCTGATTTATGTTTTAAGAACCAGTTTCCCAAAATGGCTATCCATAGGCAGAAGATTGAATCTAGACCCATGCATCTCACCATATACTAAATTAAAGTTTAAAAGGATCAAACATTTAAATATTAAAATAGAATCACTTAATCTGCTGGAAGATAAAATACGTAAAATTCTTGAAGACACAAGCATGGGCAAGGACTTTCTGAAGAGAGCCCCAGTGGCAAAAGAAATTACCAAGGGTGAACTGATGTGATCATATTCAAATTAAAAATCTTCCGCACAGCAAACAACTACCAGAGCAAAGAGCCGACCTACAGAATAAAAAGAAATTTCTGCCAGTTATTCCTCAGACACAGGACTAGTATTTAGACTATTTAAACAGCTCAGAAAAGTTTACCCCATCCCCTTATGGTTGTACCTAGATATCTCCCAAAGGTGACTGGATTAGGGTGTGTGGTGCTGGGATTAAGGGTACCCACCCCAAAGGCAGGTAGCCTAATGGAATACAGAAGAACAGAAAGAAGCTTCCTCACTGCTGTGCTGCCTTCTGTTGCCCTGCTTTGCTGTGGGCTGTTTCCTCCCCTGCGGTGCCCCTGTGCCATGCCACCCTGCCCGGGAGCCAGCTGACGGTGTACTGAAACCTCCACAAACAGAGAGCTGAAATAAACCTTTCCTCCTTTACCTTTGGATGTTAGATATTTTGTCTGTAGTGAGAAAAGTAACTAAACACCCTCAAAATGAAAGACCCAGTTAAAATGTAGGCAAATGAAAGGAATGGGCACTTCTCAAAAGAAGAAGTACAAATGGCCAATAAACACATGAAAAGATATTTGATACCACTAGACACTAAAGAAATGCAAATTAAAGCAACACTAAAATTCCATCTTACCTCAGAAAGAATGGCTATCACCAAGAACTCAAATAATAGCAAACACTAGTGAGGCTGTGGGGGAAAAGTTGATGAGAATATAAACTAACACAACTGCTAGAGGAAATCAGCATGAGGATTCATCTAAAAAAGAAAACTAAAAATTCATTAGATTCATCTATTCCCTATCTAGATATTTTCCCAAAAGACTTAATATGCATGTATCACATTATTGTGGTACATGCATACCCACGTTTACTGCAGAATAATTCATAATAGCTGAATCTTGGAAGTAGCCTAAAGGTCCATTAACAGGAAGTGTGCTATTCACACACAATGCAGTACCACTCTGCTATAAAGAAAATTACTCGAGTCATTTGTGTGAAAATAGTTGCACTTTGAGACATAATAAGTGAAACAAATCAGACACACAATCTTAAAAATCGTGTGGTTTTTCTTATATGAGAAACCCAAAGTATAATAAAGAGAAAAATAAAATATAGATCATAGGAAGTAGGGAGATAGATCTTTTCAAATAGGAAGGGGACCAAAGATGGAAGGAGGGGGGAAGGGAAGACAGGGAGGGGGAGGCAACTGGGGTGAAATAGGAACAAAGACACATTGTGTACATGTGTCACTTCTACTTAGAAATGGCACCATTATGTAACACAGACACATACTGATAATAAATGAAAACTGAAGAAAAGAAAAATACAAGAACAATTTTCCTGTAGTCCATGAAATAGCATGTCTCTTATAATATAATTGTTAATGAAGCCACCCAAATATGGTACATACATGCCAAAGAAAATCAAATAGCACTAATCTCTTCAGTGAATTGAGGTATACCATTTTAATACGTATGCTCAGGTTCAGAGAGAGCAGGAATCAGATTTTTCATGATCCTCCTATTAGTGCATAGAAAGGAAGCAAACTGTTGCCTGGTTAGAGCATATCAGTCTCCTTTTCATTGCTAAGATGTGAATTTTACACACTGAGCTACCACCTTCACTGCTGAGAAGTGTCCTTTACTTCAAATACCGGTATCTTTGTTATTTTTAAAATACATGCTTATCATAGTAAAAATTAGAAAGCATAAAAAATAGAAAGTGGTAGTCTTACTTCATTACTCCCTATTCATTCTAAAAAATGCCTGGAAACATTGTGATAAGTCAGTTTGCTTCCTGTCTTTGCTCTGCTTTGCTAGCTCATTTGACCTAGTTTATGCTGTGGAGAGAGAAACCTTTTTTTACAGTTTCTCTGTAATATCAGTGGATTCAGATAATTAAGAAAATAATCACACTTTACATTTGTATTAGTTTAAAATTAAGAAAGTGCTTTGTCATCTATCATTTCATTTGGCCATTATGTAAGATAGTCCCTTTACCAGGACACTAAGGTCGGTATAAAAGAGGGGACTCTGTCCCAAACCCCTGCTTGGGAATGGTCCCAGCCAGGATTTGGAGTCTCTAGATTTCACATGCACAGATCTCTAGATTTCTTTTCTTTAGGTTTCCCCCTATAATCATTTTTATTTTCCTTTACAATTTAAGTGTGTATATTTATGTACGGATATTCTGTTTGAGATCTTAGACTTCTACTTCCTGTGGTTTTGTTTTGCTCCAGAGAGCACATGTGTGTTTAATGTGTTTTGAGCTACCAGCCTGGGAACTTTGCCCCATCACATGCATAGCCGCAGTTTGCTCCCTGGGCCCCGTTTCCTCTGTAGCCTGAACAGCTGGCCTTGGTCCCTGGCAGCAGGCTTCTGGAGCATGGAGCTGTCTCAGGCTGTCCTGTAAACAGAAGAAACTTGCCACTTAGAATCTCGCTAAGTACCTACGCTAGCTACCGTGTACAGATTCATTGCTGCATCTGTGGGGAAGCTGGAAGTTGTGGATGTTCAACAGAAAACTTTCCCTGTGAGTCCTGACTGGCTGGCTTTCACCTTTCTGCCTAGCACTTGCGAATTTCTGTCACTCTCTCTCTTTCTTTCTTCTTCCAATTGTGAAGAAAAGTTCAATACTTGCTAAGACTTTTAATTAATGCTTTAAAATTTCTTTCTTTCTTTTTTAAAATTTCTGGCTTTTGACCTCTTTACCTCTACTCTTTACCTTTCCTAACTCTTAACACTATATGTCTGTATGATGAGGCAACTTAACAATTAGATGAAATGCTTACGCTTTGTGGAGAGGTTGTTAAGAATGAGATTGAAAGTGGCTTCAGGAGTTTAACAAGAGAAGTGAGGGGCAGAAAAGGGAAAAAGAGACTATGTAAAGGGAAACAAATCCGAGAGAGCTGAGAGAAATTCAGTCGTTCCTGAATGGACCATTAAGCAAAAGAAAAAATATCAGTGTCTTATGAGTTAAAGTGCTGTAAGATTTAATATATCTCATTATTCTGAATTGTTGTTCCAAAACTTTGAAGCTGACATTTAATCAGCAAAAACTTCTTGACAATTTTAGATTTTAAATATCAAAGACTTAAACAAAAATAAGAATATATTTTCACATAGAATTCTTATAATTTTTCTTGAGAGAAAAATCGTGGTCAATCTGTTCTTTGGACCACTAAAGTCAGGAAATCGCATGGATCTGACTCTGTCCCCGTTGCATAGACCATCCATTCTGTCTGGAACCATCATTTATATAATGGTCCTCATATCACTTGTTTCTGGACTAACTTTTTTTTAAATCTGAAAGCAGTAAAAAGCTTGTATAACTCATAGGAAAATCACGAGGATAACTGTTGTAATGAGGTGAGCAGATTAAAACTGAATCTTTAACCAGCATCCCTCGCTGAGCCCCACTTGGTCTGTTGTTCAGAAAAGCCTGTGGTGGGTCAGCTAGTCACTTAGCACAGTCCATCAGACACTGGCCACCTGAGCACAGCCAGGTGTTTAGTGAAAAGCCACACAACAAGCCCATTCTTCTCATAAAGTACCTGATGACTTTTGATTTTAGTGGTATTTTGTTCAGTTTGATTAAGAACGAAAATGAGTACTTCAGCATGAAATTTCCCCACCAGTTTTTTGGTTAGGACCCTTAAATCACTCATTTCTTAATATTAAAAGGCAAAACTAGTTTGCCTTATCTGCTAGTGCCAACTAGTTTTAATATAATTACTTTCAGTGTCCATTTATCTTGTTTCCCTGAACTGAGTCAGATTCACTCTTTGATTTTAGATCTCTGCTGTTGCAGTGGGAACATCAGCTGTTCCATACAGGCTCCACAGGTGCCCAAGAGGCTGTCCACAACCTCTGCCTACTTAGAGTGAAGTAGTGCTCTCCTACCTGAGCTCGTCCTCAACCCTGAAGCCTTTGCTGCGGGCCAGATCCATGAGGAAGGCTCTGCGAGTGCTTCCCATTTTCTTCTCCAAAATGAAGAGGACCAAATCTCCAAACCGGACCTCATGAGCACCTGAAACCATCAAGGCACCTGCCTTCCTGGGTCTCTTCTTTCGGGGGCCAGAATGGGGTGCTTGCAGCAGGTCCATGGGAAGAGACTGCTCTGACTCTGGCTATGCCATCAAGTGATGTCTCCAGGAGTGAGGGGAGACTGCCACCCGCCTGAAGAAGGATTCTGATGTCATCTTACTGCAGACTCTGAAGCCAGGACAAGGCTTTAAGGGCACTGCCTAAGTAACAGCTTCCTGCAGTTCAGTCCTCTATCCAGTATAGAGATCTTAATGACAATAATAAATTAGCTTTCGTTTTCACATGCATAATCTTATCAACTCCTTGGAGTAACCTTAAGAAGAAGGTAGGGAAGCATCATTGTTTGCATATTACTTATAATTTCAAAATGTTTGAAACCCTTCAGCTGTCTTTATTTATCAATCCTTTTTGAACATCTAGCTCACTTGCATTCTTGTCCTCTCAAAGATAATCCTGTCACTTGCTGCATAGGTTTTGCGTATTGCCTGTGGTTGCTTTGATTTTACAAAATGGCATCACCAAATTTCTCATTCTGCTAGTCACCTTTTATTTTTTTCACTCTGAGCTATGCTTTTCAGATTGGTATTCCCTCCTACTGATTCTAATTGCTACATACTCCTTTCCTGCATTTTATAAACAAAAAAATCAGGACTCAGACCATTATTTAAGATCACAGAATAAGCAGCTAAACAAGACCTTAAATTCTTCTGACTCCAAATGCAATATATATTTTTTTGTTTTCAGTGAGCTAATGTTTTTCAGAAAGTAGTATGTTATGTAACTCTAAAATAAATCTTTTGGGGCTGGGTAAATAATGATTTTATACTCCGGCAACTTTTTAAACAAAATGAAATTTGTGGCATTCATCAACCCACTGTACAAATCTCATTTCTTTTTTTTTTTTTCTTTCTTTCGTTTATTTAGTATCTCATGGTATAGTTTAGGCTGGTCTTGAACTCACTATGTAGCCTAGGCTGGCTCTGAACTCATGATGATCCTCCAGCTTTAGCTCCTTTAGTGATTGAATTGTAGGGATGAATCACAACACTCAACTAGATCTCGTTTCTTACACATCTGCGTGGTCAAGGTGAGTGCCCATAAGCCTTTGCTGATTGAATCCTCTTGATACATTGTAGGATTGGGACTACCATGCTCATTCATTTAAACAACTTGACCAAAGTTGCAGCACTAACACATGGTCACAACTAAGATATGACTAAGCCAGGATTTGAATTCAAATCTATGTGATTTTAAAAATCTGAGCTCTGGGTCAGGGATATAGCTCAATGGCTCAGTGACTGTCTGGCAAGCATGAAGTCATCAGTTCAATTCCTGGTACAAAATAAAATGTACTCTTAACCACCAATGAATCTTCCCCTACAAATCTCTTCCTCAATAACAAATCTGAGTTATTCTCACCCACTTCGACATATTATTTGGAATTTTGCTGCTGGTAACAGCACATGAGCATCTTACCACAACACCAAGGGAATCTTCAAGCAAGTGAGAAGCAAATTTCATTGCTCAGGAAAGCAAAATAAGAAATTTTAAAGTGGAGGCAATAAAGTAATAGGTTTCAGCTTTCTGCAAGTAGGAACATTTTAGTAACATTTAGTAACAGCTGTCAAATGTCTAGAGACCTGCTCTGTATATCGGCATATGGCAGATCGTGAAAGTGTTCAAATAGCTGCTGGGCAACTGTTTATTAAAATGTCACTGCAGGGATTCTAACATCTAGAACAGGCTTTAGTGCAGGTGTATGACCCCAGGAATCTGTCTTTGGAGATGAGAACATATTTTGGTCCTCATTGTTGTTTGGTTTGTTGAAGTGCGGAAAGCTTCAGGAGCTATTAACTTCTTAGCTACCAAGTGGTCACACAGCACATGGGAGGCAAATGTCTAGCTAAAGTACAGAGTTGTTATGCTCATATCCAGAGTGTAATCACTGCGTGGGAAAGGTGGGCCATCTAACTAGTAAAGGGACAGGCTGTTAGGACACACCTGTATCTAGGAGTTCAGTCTTAGTCTTTTAAGTCAAACTAGCCATAAAAATTCTGTCATCCCTACTTTGAAGCTGTGACCTTGAGCAGTTAGTACAGTCTCTTTTCTTTTTATTTCAAAGAGTACACAACAAAATAAAACCAATCAAAACAGACCAGTATAAGATATATAGGACTTCAAAAGATTACAAAATCAACAATTGTTACCATAATGCCTTCATATACCATGTCTTCAAAATAGCTTCAGATAACTTCAGACATAGTAAAAATCAAACAGAAAAGAATAGAATAGAAACAATAAAAACAAAACAATGAATGCAATAAAGGACTTCAGAACAAACCAATAGTAAATCCAAAATTGCTACCATAATATATCTTGCTATCTTTGTACTTTTTTTTCTTTTTTGGTACCAGGGATCAAACTCATGAACTTGTGCTTACCAGGCAAGCACTTAAGCCCCTGAGCTAAATCCCCTATGAAATAGCTGCTCCTGCCTTCAGATTTGACATAATCAAACAAAACAAAAGAAAATAAAACCCAACCCATGAAAACAATGGAAACTATATAGGACTTCCAAAACAAGACCATAGGGAATCAGCAATGGCTGCAACCCTCAGAAAGAGATCCCCTTACATGCCACACTGCATACCGATATCCTCTGAACCTGTGATCAGACCACTGGCTCTAGACCTGCAGTGTTAGTGAAGCATCAAAGCACCACAGCATCCAATTGCATTTCACCTCCATGGCTACCACCACAGTCTGTGTTTCTCCAGATAAGCCAGTTGCTTACAGGTATGTCTGGGATTGGTTGGTCCTTCTTGTTTGCCAGCCCATGTGCCAGAAGGGGCTGGGGTCTGGCTGTTCCAATCTGGCAGCCCACACATGGTGCTCATTCTTAGCCTGGCATTGCTTGCTGGTGTGGCTTTGATCTCTCTACCCCTGGTCTGCGATTGGTGCTAACTCACAGGGAGAGGCTGGGGTCTGTCTGTTCTAGTCCAGTGGCAACCTGTTCATGGCATTTATTCCCAGACTGGGCTTGCTTGCTGGTGTGGCCTTGTTCTCTCTACCCCCAGTCTGTAAATGGCTAGTTTGTGTAATCTCTTTAAGCCTCAAATTTTTCCATCTGTAAGAGGATTGAGATAGTCTGTCTAATCTGTTGGGAAGAGTGCTTGACACAGAGGAAGCACTTTGTATAAATATCATTCAGTAGTAACTTGTATCTCAATTTGAAAGTGATTTCAGTTCAATCTGATCAGATCTATGTGTTTTATAAAACTATTCTCATCAAGATATCATATTAAATAGTGTCATATTTAATTTGTTTTGAGTCACTTGTATTGAAGAAAATTATGACTATCATGTCTCAGCCACACATCTATCTTTCTCTGATAGGTTCTGTGAGGTTGTAGCTACAGTTATGCATATCTCAATTTCTATTTGTCAGCTGACATTGTGTTAGCTCTGCCCATAGGAGGCATAAATGGAGACTGCAGGACAGGAGCACAGGATATCAAGTCCTAACCTAGATCCCCAATCTCCCAAACGAGTGTACAGTGGAGGGTTCAATAAATTGAGATAAATTATATGGTTTTAGGGCTCCAGGAGGGTCAAAACCCTTTAGCTGAGCTCGAGACTCCGAGGGCTATGACAAAGACTTCTCTGGACCACCCATTTATTTATTAGGTCCAACAACAAGGGGCAGGGAAACTGAGGAAAGCACAGGCAATGAGCAAGACCTTGGGAGTCACTTCAAGGATGTCTCCAAGTAATGAATCAAGTCAGTTCAGTAGCGCTGTCTTATCATGAAGACATGGTAGGAGTGAGAATGTAGGAATAATTTCTGCAGCTGCAGTTTCTGTCTACTTAATTGATGTTTGAGGCAAGTGTCTGCAGCTGTAGCCTGACCTTGTCCTATGCGTTATCTCTGGCCTCACAGGCCACCGCAGGCCTCAGCCAGGATCAGTGATTCACAGAGGTTCACTTACTATGAATCACCTCCTGTCACCAGGTAAGGGGCCAAGGCCTAGGACACACTCACAGATAAACATAGAAAGCCAATTAGTAAAATTTAAATCCTGTTCAGAGCCACTTTGTAATGGTCTCCAACAACAGGAGGCCTTGGTCCTCAATTGCTTGCATTTTGCTAATGTCCCAGTCTTCACGCTGGCAGCAGGAGTTGTTTTAATCTAGCGTTTTGCACAGCCAGAGTCCCTTCACAATCAGGCAACATTTTCACCTAAAAGATCTGAGCTGTAGCAGAGACCCACAGGAATTTTCCAGTGGACTTCTATGGTACCCCCAGCAACAAGAAGAACTGACTTCTCAGAGGTCTGTGTCTCTGTGTCTCTGGTCGTCAACAATCACAGTTCCATCTCTCTGTTGCTTGTCCTAGGGATGAGGCATGCTTCCTAAAATTACTTTCTCTGAGTTATCTTAGTGTCTTCACTTGCATTTTCAGCCTTTCATGCTTATTAACCCAATCTCTGTATTAAATTTTCTCTACTGAAATCCATAATATGCTTTCTAGTTTCTCAACTGGACCCTGACTGAAACAATGTCCACTGAAAACAAGGGTGTAGAAAGTGGACATTGATCTTCACTGGTGGAGATATACGCTCTCTAAAGAGACATCTGACAGCAACGTGGAAAAAATCCTTAAGCTATCCACATTTCTCAACCTTACATTTCTATTTTTTAGAAGAGAAAATACATATGTACCAAGATGTTTATTACAGCATGATCTGTATAAGAAAGTTAGAAACAACAGGAGCGTTTAGTAACAGAGGATTGATAAAGTGTGACATGATACTATGCAGATAAATAACATGGGTAAACACTCATCAACTAATAGTTGCAAAATCAGTTTACTAAATAGTGATTCCATAGAAGACTAAAAAGATAGAAGGCAAGCCTGTAATAGTGGATTCCATAGAATCCACTATTGTTTGGTTTATACCTGAGTTTTATTTTTATCTTTCTTCCTTCTGTTTTAACTTTTTAAAAAAAATAAGTATAACCCTGAATTATGTTTGTAATGAAACATAATTCTTGCCTT